TAGGTGAACCACTTGAGACACTTCTCAGACACAGTGTGGACTCCCTTACTTCAACGTCACCCAAGTTAATGCACAACTTCTGCAAGTATTAATACATATTAACACTGGATAAAACACAAACACAAAACACGTCAATGACACACATGACTTCAGTACTGTATAAATTTTCAAAAATTCTTCTTACATTTCTATACTCAATCAATGTTATTCACATGCAAGTATCCCTCAAAAATCAGATAATCCATCATTAAAATACTTGTCTATTTCTGCAACTTAAATCCCAGCTTCAATTCCCTCGGATTTGATCAATGATTAAAAACCATCCCACCGCTATAGCCACCAATTTATACTGCCAGATCTGGGGTCACTAAATCTAAGGGGATAACTTAACTCTAATCTTAATTTCTAAGGGTCGCTGCCACCAAACCCCCTCTGGACAGCATGTAGCTCGTGAGGTAGCGGGCAGAGTGGACTAGGCATTGGGCTAGGTTTTCCATTGATCAGATCGATAAGGGTAAAGAAGGGTGAAACCATCACATGTCTTCCTTGATTTATTTCTTATAAAACACACTGGTAAAAAAAACACATACAACCACACTGTGGACCATAATTCCAAGGCCTGTCCCAGGGTATAGCACTGGCGCCTCTAACAACTGTTGTTGTGGTCGGTTACACTCCGACCCGAGATGGGTTTGGGGGCCTCGGCCCACGAGGTAGAGTAGAGCCGATTAATCACGCCGAATCAACGCCATCACTCCTATATTGACCAATGCTGGGTATCCACCGGCTCCGAGCGACCGGTGGGTTTCAATTAAGCCCACCCTCGATCTGGAGACAAACGGGAATCAGCGTCAGGGAACGAGAAACATGACAACACCAACAAACTCTCTTGCCTAGACGACAGACGTATTTACGTTATATTACTTCTACACTGGGTGAATGACAATTCAGCTGTTAAATCATGAACACAGGTGAACACTGATAATCACTACAATTGACTGAATTAACTGAATGGCTAGGAAACACAGAACATACCTGGAGACAAACGGGAATCAGCGTCAGAGAACGCTGATTCCTCGCCTCGAGTTTATATACCCCTGAGTTGCCAGTGATCGCTACTCACACAATGACAATAATTACAAACAAACTAACTGTTACTCATTCAAAGATGACCCTCAGTTGACAAAGGTCTGGCGAATTACTTGGGTTGATTTACACAGACTAATTCAAGATTGAGCTTCCCAGGAGAAAGTGGAATAAACAACGTATTGATAACTGTCTTCACAAAGGCGGGGCTTACTGGGAGGGATCGCGAGGATAAACACGCTCCTGAGATTCTACAAGCGCGGTGGATTTGAATATTATGTAGCGTAATATGAATTAAAACGGGTTTTTAGGGATGACAATGAGGTGCGCAGTACACCCGCACTCTTCGTCTTTCTAGGGAATGCAAGTTTAGTTTCTTTAACCTATCTTGATATGGAAGGTTTCTAAGTCCCGGAATCATTTTCGTCATTCTTCGCTGCACTGACTCCAGTGAATTGATATCCATTGTATAATAAGGGCACCAGAATTGAACCGCATAATCGAGGTGCAGCCTGACTAGCGCAAGATATAGTTGCAATAAGACCTCTGTACTCTTATTACTTAAACTTCTAGATATAAAACCTAATACTCTGCTTGCCTTATTTCGAACATTAACGCACTGTTTTCTAGGCCGTAGGTCCGGGCTTACAAGTATCCCTAAGTCTCTTTCACAAGTTGACTTCTCTAGGTTGATGTTGTTAAGGCTGTATACATTGACCGTATTTGTTCTTCCAATATTAAGTACGCTGCACTTGCCGGTGTTGAATTTCATTTGCAATTTTTCAGACCACTCCTGCAGTTTATTTAAATCCTCTTGTAGTGCATTTGCATCCTGCCCTTAATTAATCTGCCGCCCTATTTTGGTGTCATCTGCAAAATTTCAGATGAAATACATGATGAAACTTTATGTGAATGAAATTATGGATGGTGTTAAGTGGGATGAACTGAGAGACCTACACGTGATCTCGCACGCCGGGGACGACGCTGGACAAGTTGCCTAAGTTTGTGACTGTGTAGTCGTGTATGACTGGGCTGGGGTTGACGAAGTGTTCGTCTAGAGGAACTTCCGCTATCGTCATCTCGTCCACTAACTTCTAATTTGCAAGCGAAGTAAAAATCCGGAGCCGTACTGGAACAAAAACTGGTGGACGAGATGACGAAAGAAGAAGTTCCCCTAGACGGACAATTCGTCAACCTTGGCCCAGTCATACACGACTAAGCAGCCAGTAACCGGCAGTGTACAAGAGACAGACGCTGTACCCTCCCAATATTGGTGTTTTCTACGGTAGTATGTAAGGCTACGGCACCAACTCTGTTTGCTGACACCGACAACCAATGTTTACCACTAAGTCAAACTATACTCGACATAGCAGATGATAACAGTGGGGAAAAAACATTAAACAGATCCACACCGGCCTCACCCTGAGTGGTTAAACAGGAAAAAACCATTCTTGATCAAATATGTTGCCGAAATAAATGGAAATAACTTGGTTGGTGGTGTAGCCTGTAATGTGGACCCATCTTCTCATTACCAGTGTTCCAGTATAGGGCTGTGGCCAAGGCCAGAGCCAGGGACAGGGTCAGGTTGGTCTGGAGACAACTTCACGTCTCATTCTTCTTCGACGTCGTTTCTTCTTTTTTTTAAGACAATGCAAATGATTATAATTAAAAAAATAAAATAAACAAAAGTTATATATTTAAATTTTCTTCGTTTAATTTTATTACAGCAGTACAGCATTTTTGTATATAGTTGTATTGTTACGTTTCATACACTCACACACGAATCCTTTGCGGTCGCCACAACTTGTAGAGACAAAGATTGTGTGTTTGTGTGTGTGTGTATTACCCTTCATAATGTTTGAATGAAAATAATCGTAATTACCCACCCCTAAAAAGTATGATGCAAAAAGAAAAAAGTACAATACTGAAACAAATAATAAATATAACATGAAGAAAGCGATACCATAACAATGACACGATGCAGACATACACAGCCCAAATAACATTATACTGAACGAGTAATAACTTATGAAGATGAAATAATAATAATAATAATAATAACAATGAAAGGTAATAACGAAAAGGAAAAAATTAATAACGGAATGCAGAATATGATAACAAGGAAAAGAATAAATTATCATGATATCTGAGTAAGCTGTGACATCGATTATATTTATTGTCCATTTGATTTCATTAACATATAGGTGTGAGGCATACACCTGTTAAGGGAGATTTGATCATGTTTATATATTCAGTTTACGAAAATCTTACAAACAAAAAGATTACAATTTCTATTTTTTGCTGTAAATCTCGGAAATATATTTTTTTAAAGAGGTAAAATATTATGTGACAAAGAAGGATTAAGTTAATTTTGTAATAAAATCTCAAATATTTTGTGTTGAGGGTGAAGAGTGTGTTGCTGGGATCTGTATTAATGTATTGTTGTTACTAAATATTTTACATTAGGTTTCAGTAATGTTGAAGGACACTATGCTAGATGTCCTATACACCACTCAATCATTTGTTCAAGATCTTCATCATGTGTGTTGTCGTGCGTTTAATCACAAAAACAAAAATTCATATCATGTCAATAAAGGTTGAAACGTCTACTAACTACATAAAAATCCCTACTGTATTATTTAAGGTTAAGAAATATACTAATTGTGTAATAATAAATGAGGTGGGGTTAACGCAATAACGCATGGCCCTGAGGAAACCCGATAAACAGAGAGTCCAGAAGGGGAAATGTTTATGTGTAGAATCAGTGTCAAGGTCAATTAAATGTTTTGGAGATAGCAAGAGCCATTGTAAGGTTGTCGGTATTGTAATTATTCGTTGATGAATTAAGTGGTTGGAGAAATCGTCAATCAGAAGTTGACTTAATTAAGGTTTCATAAATTATTGCTGTTTTTTTTTTAAGTTATTAACTATCCAGGATGAGAATATCAAAATGCAAAAAAAAAAAATGAAAAGTTAATAAAATAGATATAGACTAAAGAATTTGCATGTAACGAGAGGAAGATCTATATGAGTTTTTTTGAGCAATATTACAGGAATTCCATACTGACCTGGAGGCTCATCAAGATTTACAACATACATTAATTTTCCACGTCACTTCTACATCCGGGTGAGGCGTGACCTGTCTATCTTCTTATAAGGCAGAGTTGAAAGCAAAAATCAATCTCGAGATTTGATTGCCCTTCTCCTAGGAATCTCTGGGAATCTGAGATAATTGAACCATTCAGTAAGCCTGAGAGGAGTAAGGCATGAATGGCTACTGACGCTGGAGTTGACTGCAATTAAGGTAGGCCAGAACAATTGATTTCAGTTGTTCAGAAAATCAAGGATAGTTTATGAAGGAAGAGAAACTATATATTGGTAAGAACTGGAATACATAATCAGAGAGAGAGATGGAGAGAGATGCAAGTGTTTATTATGTCTTACAATACCAGGCATCTGTGTGGGAGTATTGATTTGTTGTGTGAGATTAAATGAAGGGACAAGGTGGTTCCCCTCTGCACACAGGACTTCTCTCTCTCTCTCTCTCTCTCTCTCTCTCTCTCTCTCTCTTTTTGTGTGTTACGGTAGCGGAGATCGCCCGGTATTATATCTTTGGCTGTGAGATCAAGTTGAACATAATGTGTATCATCAGTGAGAGTGTCAAGAAGACTGGACACCCGGGGAACGTTATGACAGGGTTGCCAAAAGATTTTGACAGAAGAGAGTTTACTAAAAGGAGTAGAATAGGAAGAGGAGATGGAGGAAGAGGAAGAGGAGGAGAAGGGGAAGGAAGGGGAGAAGGAGGAGGAGGAGGAAGAAGAAGAAGAAGACGAGGAAGAAGAATATAAGTTATGGGATCCATATGAAAGCAATGTCATATTTTGGGCCTCAACAGGGAGACCACCACTACCACTTTAGAGATTTCGAATGCATTCATGACCCAGATAGTCGTCGGGAGATAATGATGATGGGGGAGGAGGAGGAGGAGAAGCAGACTTATCTTTCTGAAACAAAGAATAGATCGGGTTCATTAGATTGTAAATGCCAAAGAACAAGGTCAAGATTGATAAGCCAGTCTTTGAATATTGCAAGAGTTGATTTTAAAAGTGAATCCGTCAGCTGCTGTGACGGCGAATATTGGGTTGGGTAAGGAGTCATCTTGGCTGGTCGAGCACATAGGATGAATTGATGTCACGGGTTGAGGATCGGAGGAGGGGAGAGGAGAGGAGAGTTACTTGTTCACTGAGGATGGTAGTCGGCTTCACCCCTGACTAGCAATACTGTGTGTGTGTGTGTGTGTGTGTGTGTCATTGCAGTTCCACCAGCTTTACAAAATCATTTTACACTTGGGTATGGTATCTTACTGAGTTATTTCTTTACCTGTGTTAATGTTTTGTGTTATATTTATTTTTATATTTCACCTGTATATATTGATGGTAACACACACACACACACACACACACACACACACATTACAACTACTACTAAAGTACTCAGTATAGGAGAGTAAACAGGGAAACCAGATACCAGATGAACAACGATGCCATAGAGAAATCCGACTGCGAGAGAGATTTAGGAGTAATGATAAGTAGGAACCTTAAGTTAAGTAAACAATGTGTTTTTGCTCGTAACAAGGCTAATAAAGTACTTGGGTTCATACAAAGGAGTGTTAGTTACAAGACTAGCGAGGTCATCCTAAAACTGTATCTTGCTCTTGTGAGACCACACCTGGATTACGCAGTTCAGTTCTGGTCACCGTATTACAGAATGGATATAGAATCCTTGGAAAGAATTCAGAGGAGAATGACAAGACTAATCCAGGGCATTAGGATCCTTGAGTATAGAGACAGGTTAAAGCATCTTAATTTGCACTCCCTCGAGAGACGTAGAGCGAGGGGCGACCTGATAGAGGTGTATAAGTGGAAGGCAGGGCTAAACAAAGGGGACATTACAAAGGTACTCAAACTATCCAACCAGGAGCGAACTCGTAACAATGGTTTTCAATTAGACAAATTTAGATTTAGGCGTGAAATAGGTAAACACTGGTTTGGAAACAGAGTAGTGGATGAATGGAACAAGTTACCAAATATCACCATTAACTAGAATACGCTGAATAGCTTCAAACATAGGTTGGATGCTCATATGAGCAATAGGGGTTGGGTGTAAACGGGACTGCCCAGTATGGGCCAATAGGCCCGCTGCAGTTTCCTCCATTCTTATGTTCTTATGTTCTTATGTTCTTACTACTTTACTGTCACTCGGAATGGAGTATGACGATAAGGCAGGCATGATAAAATTATATGAGTTATTAAGGATGTCACCTAGGTTGGTGAGTTTTAAGGTGACTGAAGAAGCCGATATGGGACCGGCAGAATCGTTCTCAGAAGTTGCACATGTGGATGGCTCCATCTAGTGCGGGAGGGGCGGTGGCAGTGTCTTTCTGGCGCTGGCGCTTGTCTGCCTCGGTTTGCAGTCGGGTTAATTCGAAGGTATTGACACTTTCTCTTGTGGTGATCCTCCAATCGTTACGGTCTGGAGTGATCGTCTACCAAATGAAAAGTCGTTTTGGCACTTTTTCAGGTTTGTCTGAAGATTATCCTTATACCTTTTTCAGTTGCCCGCCAGCGTTACGTTTAATATTCATTAGGTGACTGTAAAGTAGCTGCTTTGGCAGTCTACTGTCGTCCGCGCGGGTAACATGGTCACTGGATAATGGTAGCCTCGATGCTCCTACAGTTGGTAATAGCGAAAATACTGGCAAATGTTCTCTTGTCTTCCCAGCGAACTCGGAGGAAGGAACATAGACTACCCTGGTAAAAGTTTTCAAGTGCCTTGAGGTGCCTCCTGTATGTAACCCATGTCTCACTGCCACATAGCAGGGTGGGGAGGACCACTGCTCGATATACGTGCAACTCACACACACACACACACACACTGGTCCCGTGTGACTTTTTCGAGTAACCATATAGCTTACCAACAATAATTATACCGTCAACAATATTCCTTCATTGTCTACAACGTTGGATGATCGTCACACTAAACCCAGAGTGGCAGTGGAAAAAGAGACCGTAATTAAATTATTATTATTATTATTATTATATATATATATATATATATATATATATATATATATATATATATATATATATATATATATATATATATATATATATATATATATATATATATATATATATATATATATATATATATATATATTTTTTTTTTTTTTTTTTTTTTAAATAGTTCAATAAAAACAAATCTATGTTTAGACATGGTCATTTTTTTTTTTTTGCACGTTCGCTTACCTGTACAGACTGAAGCCTTTACTGATAATCATTTAACCAGGTGTAAGATTTATGACCAGGCAAGATAAATCGCTGCGAGAGGTGTGTGCGCTGTGTGTAAGGTGTCAGTTGTATGTACTGTGTGAAGGTATGTCATGCAGCGTTAATGTGTGCGCTGTGTGGGCAGGTTTGCTGTGTGTAAGGTGTCGCTATAATGCCGTTTTGTATGTAATGTTGTTGTATGTGGTGCAGTTGTGGTGTTGTGTGTAAGGTGTTGCTGTGTGTAAGGTGTTGCATTATGTAAGGTGTTGTATGTAAGGTGTTCGCGTAAGGGTGTTGCAGTAAGTGCTGCCAGTATAAGACGTCAGTGTAAGGTGTCGTGTGTAGTAAGGTTGCTGTGTGTTGTTGCTGTGTGTAAGGTGTGTGTGTGTAAGACATCGCTGTGTACGTCGTTGTGTGTAGTCGCTGTGTAAGACATCGCTGTTGTGACGTCGTTGTGTGTAAGGTGTGTAAGACATCCGCCAGTCGCTGTGTAAGGGCGTAAGGCGTCGTGTGTGTAAGACGTCGTTGTGTGTAAAGAGTCGCTGAGTGTAATATGTTTCATCTGTTTAAACCTCAACGACAGAGATTCATTAGTATAATTCATGATGGTTGTCGATTATAAACAATGTTGGTATACTCCATCCCTCTGAGATTATCCACTTCCTTTCCATGGATTACTTAAAGGATCAAACCTATCCACGCCTTAGGAAACATATGGATGGAGAGGAATGGATAAGGTCGGACGGATGACTTGACAATGGATTGACATATATGACAGGAGAATTGACTGAAGGAGTCCATTTACCTGTTAGTTATAATGGTTTTAAACTGACAGTTAAATTGATTACATACATTAATACTATACAACTATACAACTACAACAATAGAACATATTTTATCCCGTGTTATAATATCTACACAAACACACACACACACACACACACACACAACCACAAACTACTACTACTATTTTTTTTTCTTTTTTTATGGCCTCCATCCTCCCGTAATAGCCTATCCGTGCTCCAACACACAATAAAATTTGTAACAACTGAGGTCAAGCAAGTGGCGTATGCTGATGACCTTATAGGAGCAGGAAAAGTGGAGGACATCAAAAAGTGGTGGGACCTGGTAACATCACGAGGCTCACTAATAGGGTACCACCCAAACGCCAGCAAGTCCTTCCTCATTGTGAAGCCAGAGCATTATGAACGGGTAATGGAGGTGCTCGTTGAAGTGAGGTCAAAATATCAAAGGATGGCCAAAGACACCTAGGCCCAGTAATCGGCACGACGGACTTCAAGACCGAGTACGTAACGGGAAAGGTGAATGAGTGGGTAAGGAAAATCCAAAATCTGTCTGAGATTACTAGCACAGAGCCACATGCGGCTTTTGCGCATTCACACCATGGACTCAAGCATCGCTGGAACTACCTAATGCGCACTATCCTTGATATCGGACCCCTCCTCCACCCTCTTGAAGAAGATATCAGAGTCAATTTCATTCCCAAATTAGTGAAACACCCTCACTTAACCCCAGCAGAAATATCACTCCTTGCACTACCACCGAGACTGGGAGGAATGGGATTGACCAATCGAAAGGAGATTGCTGCCACCGAACAGCAAAACTCAGTTAAGCTCACGGCAGCCCTCACGGACCACATAATAGCTCAGAACGCAACAGGGGAGGTGGATACCAGTCAAGTAAAAAAGATTCGAAGGTCCATTACGAAAGAACGACAGCCTGGCCAAAGTGATAAGTTGCAGCAACTGTTGCTGCAAGTACCAGAGAATTTGAAGAAAAAAAGTAGCTATAGCGCAGGAGGTGGGCGTCTCGAACTGATTAACTACGTTACCGATAAGGGCAATTCGTTTCAGTCTCAATAAACAAGAATTTACAGATGCAAATGCTCTAAGGTACGGTAGGCCAGTAGGTTTGCCCTCCCAATGTGTGTGTGGCTCTTCCTATGACGTCGATCACGCCATAGTGTGCAAGAAAGGGGCTTCGTATGCATGAGGCATGACGAAGTACGGGATCTCACAGCAAATATGTTGAAGGAAATCTGCTGTGATGTCAGGGTAGAACCGATCTTCCTTCCATTAGACGGTGAGAATTTCCAACATAGGACTTTAAACACATCCAACGAAGCCCGTATTGACGTCAGTGCTCGAGGATTCTGGACGCGGGGACAGTGAGCCTTCTTCGACATCAGGATTTTTTATCCCATGGCCACATGTCACCGTAACTTAGCTCTCGATGCTGCACACAGGAGGAACGAGAACGACAAAATAAGGGCATAAGGGAGAGAATTCAGAACGTTGATCAAGGCAGCTTCACTCCTTTAGTGTTCACAACTTCTGGTGGGATGGGACCAAGTGCAAGATGCTTCTACGCCAGACTCGCGGAGGTGCTATCCGAACAGAAGCAGCATCCCAGAAGTTATGTTACAGCCTGGATGAGCTGTCGACTGTCCTTCTCTGTCCTTAGGTCGGCTTTGCTTTGCCTCAGGGGAATGAGAGCTTCGGCCCCAAAGCCGACAACAGTTGCAGATATTGACTATGAGGCAACAGTCACTGAACGGAGCATACATCTGCGGCTCAACTAACTCAACAAAGCTAATGATAGCTACTTATGTATTAGGATATTTAATTTTAAGGTAATAAAATGGCGGCGAAGGT